GTTGAAAATATATCTATATTTTCATGAAAATAATAATCATAAACTAAAAATTCTCGAAGCTATCTATATTAAAAAATTGAATCCAAACCTTAAAATTAATTACGAATACTGCACAAATGTTTTAAAATGTGTACACTAGTCTAAAATATCATGGTTTGCACTAATAGTTTTAATACTTATTTCTTAAAATCTCTCGACAACAATATATTTAGTTACCTCCCTTGAAGTGGTGTCAAGCAATAAGGTATTCACAGATGAACATAGCAATTTTGTTGTTGAAAATGATGAGCACTACAATATTTTTTTTTAAATGATCAACACCCTGATGATGACATTGTGTTATGTCGAAAGTACGCGGAATAAAATATGTATCAACATGGCGATTTACTCTCTTCCTTCAATAATGACACCAAAAAGGTTGTCCGTGAATATGAAAGGATCCAACTGAAAATAAGTAGACAAAACTTGTCTAAATTTTTTAATAAAAAATGTCCCAATGAAAACATGCTTCCAAAATATACGCAATATATATATATATATATATATATATATATATATATATATATATACAGTGCTGTTCGATAAAATGACTGACCTGACTTTTCTTACTTAAAATTTTTTTCACCTATTTTTTTTGGCGTCAAACTAATTTTTAATCTTATTAATATAAAAGCCCCTTCCCGACAACCTAGTAAAAAGGTTTACTCACACTAAGGTATTCTATTGATAATTATAATTTTGGATATAAATGGGATTTAGGGAAAAACTCTGTGCAAAAAAAGTGACTCACTTATTTCCTGCAACTAGTAATCAATAGAAACATAACAAAACAGCTTTAAATAAAGAATAATAGAGGTATAATTTATTTATAATAAGTAATATAGTTCGAAATGTTTAATAATCTATGGGTCCTCCTTTATTTTGAATAACATTTTCAACCCTTTTTGGCATTGACTTAATTAGGTTCTGTCAAATCTCATCTCCAAGCATTGAATTCCATTCGGATATGAAATTCACAATCAAATCCTCTTTGTTGCTCAACTGCTTTCTCGAGAACCTGTACTTTATAATACTCCATGAGTTTTCTATGGGGTTGAGGTCAGGAGATTGGGGAGAGCATGTCATAATACTCACCTCCTTCTCATCAAAGTATTCCTTCATCAATTTTGATTTGTGACAGGGAGCATTATCCTGCATAAAAATGAGCTTGGTGGGGTCGATTTGCACCCTTTCAGCAGAAGGGAGCAGACAAGACTCAAAAATTCTCTTGTACTGCACGCTCCTGAGGGTCTTTTCAATAGGTTTTAAAAAAACAGTTCCATGAAAAGAAAAGCATCCCCAGAACATTATACTGAACGGATGCTTGACAGTACTTACTGCTAAATTCAAAGAGCTTTCAAAGCTTCTTCGTCGGATTTTAGATCGCTTATCCTTTGAATTTAGCTCAACTTTCGTTTCATCGGAGAAGAGAACATTCTTCCAGTCTTATACGGTGACATTTTTGTAATAGTGAACCCATTCAAGTCTCTTGGCTTTGCTGGCTTTTCTTATTAGCGGCTTAAACAAGATTTGTAGCCTTGTTCTAACAGCCGCCGACGGACTGTTGAAGAGGTAAGACTAACACCTTGCACTTCGCTTAGACTGGCTGCAAATTCTTGGCTAATTATAGTCCTATTCTTCGCAACTTCTCTCTTGCTTACCCTGCCAGTTCTAACATCAATCTTTTTTTTTCGTCCCCTTGTTTCCTTATTTGGGACAGGAGTGGCGTCATTATGTGCCCTAAGCACTCGAGAGACAGTTGCTTGCGAGGTGATAACAATTTCTGCAATTTCTCTCGTAGACTTGCCTGCTTTTGAGAGGGCAATAATAGATGCCTTAAGTGGTTCTGAGTGGCTATTTCAAGCTGTTTTTATACTGTATGAGGCTTTCTGGAATATTCTGGAATACTCTAGATTTAATTTAAGCTGTTCTAGATTTCTCTAGAATATTTTTTCTGAGTGTATAGTAAAATAGTTTTCAATATTTTATCAAAAGCTCTTTAAATTTACCAGTTTAATCATTAGAATGCCATATCTGAGACAATTTTTTTTGCACAGAGTTTTCTACTGAATCTCATTTATATCCAAATTTATAATTATCAATAGAATACATTAGGGTGAATAATTTTTTTTCCTAGGTGGTCGGGAAGGGGTCTTTATATTAGTAAGATTAAAATTATTTTAACCCCAAAAACACTAGACAGAAAATATTTTTAGTAAAAAAAATCAGGTGAGACACTTTTATCGAACAGCACTGTATATAAGTTATTACCATGGATTTCTTAAGTCTCCGCTTTCATCTTATATATATATATATATATATATATATATATATATATATATATATATATATATAAAGCGTGACAATTTGCAAGACAATCCTTGCTCCGGTTAACAACTGATATGAGTTCATTTTCGAAAGCTGCTGCCAGTTTTACTTTGGCAGACTTATCGGAATAACTATTAAGACAGGAGTTAATTTTAGTGCCATCACTATAAATACATAGTTGGGAACTGATGACATCGGGAAAGTTGTTGAAAAAGTTCAAAAACAACGTTGAACCAAATATACTGTGCTGGGATACCTCCGCATTAATGTGAAATGCTATAGAAACGTGCCCATTCAACACGACATTCTTTACACGATTTGTTAAATACGATTGGATTAAGCCGAATATTCGACCAGCGATACCATAACACTTGAGTTTTTGGGAGAAGGACACCATGCCAAAACTTGTCAAGAGCCTTCGATATATCTAAGGCCACAGCCCGAGCTATAGCCCGAACCTGTTAGACAAATTCAGCCATAACCATTGTCCTATCTTGAGAAAAGAAAACCATATTAACCAATGTTTAACCAATTCGAAATTGATTAGAGCATCTAGTACTTTGCTAAAAAAAGATTTAAAAGACTAACAGACAATACTTGAAGGTTTTTGAATGTTTATTAGTTTGCTAGTGTTTATTAGTTTATTAGTGTTCATAAAAAAACAGGAACTGCTGAGGAGACATTCTAACAAGCTTGAAATCAAGAAGCAGTGAGGCATTTATTGCAAAGTTTGGAGAGTAGAAGAGCAGTTGAGGAGGTCACCATTTTTTCGTGAGCAATCTTCTGCTACAAATATAGCAGATATGAAAGTGCAAAACTTTCACGAAAAACAGCGAACGTTCCCTTTTTCATTATTTTTTTTTATCCTTTCCACACTTGTAATAGCAACCATAAATCAGAACCAAAATATGATGCCCAAATACAGCTAACACACAGAGATAGATAGATAGATAGATAGATAGATAGATAGATAGATATGAACAGATTGACAGAGATATAAACAGAATGACATATATAAATATAATATATATATATATATATATATATATATGTATAGATAGATAGATAGATAGATGTGAAGAGAATAAGATAGCTGTCTATATTTCTGAGTTTAGGTATTGTAATTATTTACACTACTTACATTGTTCGGTCTTTTGTCCACATTTCATTAATATATTCACAAAGTTTCGGCCGCTATACGCTCCGGCCTTCTTTATGAGATTGGACACATGGCTCAGTGGATAAAAGCGTTGGTTAAATCCAGTGATATGGCCCAAAGAGTTGTGACTTCAATACCTGGCTACAGCAGAGGTGGACAAAAACTTGTATGTATTCAAAGAAATACACATGTATAGATGGATGAATTTACTTACAGATGTACACAATTTCCCAGCACAATAATGTTTTTCATATAGACAAAAACAATTTACTCACTACACAGATGCAACCTTGTTACGGTGCATTTAGTTGCACCACGAAATGCACCAAAACACGGTTGAATTTTTGTAGTGAGTAAATTGTTTTTGTCTATATGAAAAAGTTATAATAAATATTCCTCTAATTGCAGTATTGAGCCCTTTTTTGAATTAATGCTGTGAACGTGAGAATTTATATATTGTTTTCGTTCTCATTACATTGGGATATATATATAGAGAGAGAGAGAGACAGAGACAGACAGAGAGACTAACTTCTAAAGAGCCTGGCAAACCTATATATCTATCTATTTATATATCTATCCATCTATCTATCTATCTCGGTCTGTTCATAAATGGATATTCAGAGTAAACTAAAGTTTACCCTGAAGATCCATTTAGGTGAAACCTAGGTAGGTTACCCTGGCCCTTTAGGATTTATTCTAGTTTATCGCTCTACTTAGCGTATTGAGCACTGTACGTTTTAGCCTTTCTACTCGTATGGTTTTATTTTTCCTTTGGACTAAGGACATAAAGCATTTGGCGATTGGTTTCGTCTTGTTCTGATGTTTTTAGTTCTTTCTTTTTTATTTCCAATTTTTTCCTCGGGTACCGACTTGTCCTGACTTATCTGCAAGTTGAGCTATCCGAGGTTTTCCAAACGATCACTACGATAGATAGATAGATAGATAGATAGATAGATAGATAGATAGATATGGATAGAATAAGACCGATATTAACAGACTTAGATACGAACAGACCTATATATATATATATATATATATATATGGATAGAATAAGACAGATACGAACAGACATAGATAGATAGATAGATCGATATGGATAGAATAAGACCAGTCGAGTTTGTTGTAGAACAGACCTATCAAACACATTGTCTTTTCTTTCAGCTACTCTGAAATATCACTCACTACATTCGTATCCTTGTAAAATATAACACAGGCAAATAAGATTGATATTAACTGTCGAACCAATAATAAAATAAAGGGCAAAACTAAAAAGAAATCATGTCACCACGATGTTGTTGACGGCAGTCCACTTGTTCGGGTAAAGTTATTAATATTGCAACCGGCCGAGGTTCGCTTCAACCATATAATCTTTCATTAATAATATATCACTGAGTCACGTTCGGTTTGTGCGTGACTAGGTTGATACATTTTCCGGGATTATTTCTTTTTTAAGGACAAAGGTTCAGCGATCATTATGTATGCAACACTGCTATTTCCGGCGTCGCTTACACCTCTCCGTTTCTGGTTCTCCTCGAACCACGCCACACTTCTCTTGTCAGACGTCCTCGTAAACGAACACCTGAACTTCTTTCTCTCGCTCTCTTCATCATTTAAATGTACCAGCTTTCTCGACTCGATTCATCTTTTCCTTGTGGAGAATGTTTATTTACTCATCACTTTATTCATTGTTTTTAACATGTATTTCTTTTTCTCCCGGCATTTTATTTTTGCTATCAATAGTTTATATCTCTCATTTATTTTATTAATTTTTATCTCTATCGTATTTCTTGGCCCTTATATATTTTTTATTTTATTTTATTTGTACACTAATTTGTCGTCTTTATTCAGTGCATTTCTTAATTTTGTCTACCTCTTCCTTTCGCCGTTTTATTTTATATATTTTTACTTTCTTTTTTAATTCAATGTATAAATGATTGAATTTAAAGAAAAATGTAAATCACTGGACTTTCTTTTTCTTTGTTTTACACTTTCTTACTTTTCGTCAATTTATACTCTCGCTTTCTTTCGTTTTTGTTTTGTTTTGGAAAATACTTTTCCTTCTACTTTCAATTTTCTATTTTCTTCATTTTATAGATATCGATTTTTTTTTAATTCAATATATTAGACTTCAACACCACTTCAAATAAAAGGTTAGGAAGGAAACATCCCCGTCAGTACTCGAAAGAGGGCTAAAAACTACTGGACTTCAGAAACCTGTTTTCCTAAAAACATTGTTTTAAGGGAAAGATTTTACACATTTCAACAGAAAGCACTACTGGATTCTCAAACAATGAATATCAATTTTTTTTTTATGCCAACTGTTTCCAAATAAGGAAATGGTTAATATTGCCATTAGAGACGAGGTGAACTGATTCTAACACTTTGAGCTTAGCCCAATAGCCAAGGAGTGAAGAAAAATGTTACTTGAGATGCACTGGCTACTCGGTCAATGAATGCCAAATGTTTACATATAATGGTTAATATTAGCATTTGAGATAAGGAGAAAAGATACTACACTTTGACCCTAGCCCAATAGCCAATATTACCATTTCTTTAAATCGATAATTTTCTTATTTCCTAAATTTATTAAATTATTAATAATCTCTCCATTTTTTTCTTTCTTTCATTTATTTTCTTAATTCATTCAATTATTAATTTAGTATTTTTCATTCTCAGTTTCCTTTACTTTTCTTTTTTTTTTCGTTTCGTTTTCTACATTTCCTAATTTTGTACTATTCTGTTTTTTTTTTTTGTTTATTTTTAAATTCTTTTTCTCCAACTTTTATTTCTTCCTTCCAACATTTCATATATTTTCATGTTCTTTCATTCAATATTTTTTATTCCTTTCGTTCTTGATTCATTCAAATAATAATCGTCTCTCTGCTCTATCCATTCATTTTTTGCTTCTCTTTCATTTTTCTTCATTTATTCTTATTCTCTTTATTTCTTTCATATTTTACATTCATTTTAATCTTCCTTTAATATTCTATTTCTTTTATTTTGTATATATTTTCGATTTCTTTCGTTCAGTTTCGTTTATATTTTTTTCTTTCTTTCATTATTTATTTATTTATTTATTTATTTATTCAGGTTTAAATTCATTTATTTTTGTTTCTTTCTTTTCTTCATTCGATATTGTTCTCTACCTTTCATTCTATCTTCATCTATTTTTTATAAAATCATTTATAGTTCCTCCTCCCCTTTTATTTGTTATTTCACTTTGAATCCTTTCTTCATTTTTATTATTATTGTTTATATTTTCTTTTTTTTGTTCATTTTTTCATTAATAATGTCTGTTCTTCACTTTCCTTTTTTATTACTATTTTTCTTTTTTTCTATTCACATTTTTCTTTCCTTTTTCTTTTCTTTTCTTTTGTTTATTCATTGTTCCGTTTTGTCTGTTATTGTCCGTTTGGTTATTTCTTTCTTTATTTCTTTCTTTTCTTTACTTTCTTCATTAATTCTTTTTTTTCTTTTTTCGATTTCTTTTCCTTCGAGATTGTAATTTCTTCTTCTTTTTCTTCTACTTCTTCTATTTCTTCTTTTTCCTTTTACTTCGTCTTCTTGTGTTTCCTCTTCTTCTTCTTATGTTTATCATTTTCATTTCCCTTTACCAATTTTCTTTTTTCGATTATTTATACATTTCCACTTTTTGTATCTTTTTCTTGTTTTCCGCTTTTCTTTCTGTTTCTTCGCATTCTTTTATTCCATTTATTTCTTCTTTTCTTCCTTTCCTTTTTCTATATTTATTTATTCATTGTGTCCCCTAAGAATGCATTCATTTTTTGACTTTATCGTCTGTTTGAATCTTTATAAACATGTATTTCATTTCATTTAGTTTAATCCGTTAATCTTCTTCATAAGTTGATAAACATTTCTTCATTTTAACCATTTATCTGGTTTGCAAGTCAATAAAAACCGCATTTATTGTTATTTTAAGACGGACTACATTTTTTTCTTCAGTTTTCCATCTGCATTTCTTTAAGCGCCTTAATTTTATTTATTTCTCTTTGTTTTTCTTTCTTTCTTTCTTTCTTTCTTTCTTTCTTTCTTTCTTTCTTTTTACTCTTTTCATTTATATTTTCTCCAGTTTTCCATCTTCCGCTTTTATTCTCTTTGTTTTTCTTTTTTCCTTCTTTCACACTTTCTTTCTTTCTTTCTTTTTACTCTTTTACTTTTTACTTCATTGCCATATTCACAACGTTTCGGCCTCTATATCTCTGGGATGAGGTATTATGATTACTTGCATTATTTACATTATTCGGACTGTTATCTTCATATTCATGTGGTGAAACCTAGGTAGGTAGTACCTGGCTCATTATAATTTATTTATTTAACATATATATATATATATATATATATATATATGAGAGAGAGAGAGAGAGAGGGGGGTCAATAAGGTTCGTGTGCACTTTAAAAAATTTATAACTTTATTTGTATTTGTGATAGAAATAATCTGTAAAAAATGTTATAAAGTTTAATGTACCTAGTTTTAAGAATAGCTAAAATAACTAATGTGATTTCAGGCATTACTGTAAATAATTTGGCAAATATTTTCCGTGAAATACAAATTCGTATTACCCTTTGTATTGCTAATGATGGAGGACATGTGGAAACTTAAATAAAATTTTAAGAAAACATTAAAAATATATAGATTTACTACTTTCTAATCCTTTTTACAAATTATTTCTATCGCAAACACAAATAAAGTTAATTTTTCTTTAAAGTGCACACGAAACTGACAGCCCAAAACCAGCACATGAGATTTGATTATAGTGGTGAAAGTTTTGTGCAGAACCATCTAGACTTTTTGACGGGCCGAATACAGAAACTTAGTGCACTACGTGCCACAGGATCCTCAAACGACCCTCCGCAGGTTATGAATTCAGAGTTGTCCTTCTCCTAGACTAGTTGCCAACCAAGGCTATAGTACCCAGTCTGTCTTGCTATTTAGCCATAGCTGGAGGGAGAAGAAGAGGATTCACACCTTTAACAAGGTTGTTATCACGTAAGTGAATGAAATGGTTTCGACTGGAATTTGAACTCGGCTCTCCGATTCCTCAATCCAAGCCACTACCCATTTCTCCGCTACCCATTTCTCCACCGTACCTCATTATTTTTATATATACATATACATATACATATATATACACACATATATAAACGCACACATATATATATATATATGAATATATATATATATATATATATATATATATATATATATATATATATATATATATATATATATATATAGTTATTAAATTAATATTTTTTTTACTGGATGGTCCCTCGGCGTTTTTTTTTTTTTTTTTTGAATTTTTAGTGAGTCTAGTTTGATTGACTATTATAGTAGTCAGTTCAGTCCTGACTGGAAAATAAAGTTCAGCATTAAATAACCTATCAAGAATTGTCAAATCGTCAAACCAACAAATTTTTTACGGGTAGTATGAAGTATATTTTCGCAATCTATTTTGTACGTGCAGGGAAATAATTATTTTCTTTCTTTCAATTTTCTCTACATAAGATTTTTTTTTGTTTTTCAAATTTCGCGTATCTGTCGCCTCAGAGAATCACTGGTCATCGCATCGCAGATTGTCTGCCACGACTGATTTATTAATAACTATATAGGGAGGGTACGATTTGTGGCGGGGGTTACATTTTGTGAATGTTGTTCAAATGTCACTAGCATTATTTAGTAAAAGCTTCGACGCGAAAAAATCAGCGAGTGAGGTGAGGCGATTAACTACATTAAAAAAAAAAATAATAATAATAAAGGAAACACATTGTTCAATAACAGATACGTTGTGTATCCTGGTGATGTTCTTTGCACCCCCGGGGCAGATTACTCCTTTCTCAACCAAACGATGAAGTTCGCTCTGTAATTACGATCAGTCGTCCGTCCGTGATAACATGACAAATTAATTATTTCTTATAGACTTTTGTTCGAAGAGCAGGTGTTTTTAAATCAAACTCTTTCACTACATGTATTTGCATGTAGACATCTATATTTCTCTGATTTCATATATATTTTCATATACGTACAAGCGGCGATGGGTAAATTGTCGCCATTTTATATATTTAATTTCGCATATGCGCGTTGTTCGTTTTTGATCTTGTCGACTGCGCAGTACAGTAGGGTCAGTTGGGCACTGTCTGTTAGATAAACACCACTATAACGCAATACACTCCGCCAGAAATTTAGAAATCACATGCTGTACTGCTTGGCATTCGCGCCGGAAGTTCCAATACGAACATTTCAGATTGTGTGGGTGGCAATCTGAGGGTAGAGCAGAGGATTCGGAAAGTGTTGGTGGTTACGAATATGTTTGGCGTGATCACTAGTGAAGGTGACGTTATGCCTCCATTCATCGTTCCACAGGGCCTCAGACTCAACACGGAGGCCTACATCAAGTGCCTTGACGAGGTAGTGGCTGCTGGAAGAACCCATGCCTGACAACAGGTCTCTGCACCATGCCACACAAGCAGGAGAAGCCATTCATTGCTGTCAAACAATTTCTGCTGCCACATCCCCGCCTTACACCTGGCCATCTAATTCCCCAGACTGCAACCCCCTTGATTATTATGTGTCGGGCACAGATGAGCGAGAGACCACCAAAACTCTTTGTAACACCAAAGATGAACTGAAAGCAAGAATTATGGCAACATTCATCAACTTAAACAAGGAGACCGTCCAGAAAAGATGCAGGAGATTCCGAAGTAATCTGGAGGCCGTGATTGAAGCCAATGGTAATTTTATGCAATAAATTTAATCCTTTGGTGTAATATTATTAAATATATCTATTAAAATGATATATCAGTGTGATTTTCATTTTTGCGTCATTTAAACAAATATTTATCCATCGTACCCTGTAGAGTTATTTTCCAAGCGTAACTTAGATGTGACACAAGGCCGAAAATAGGGGGCACTCAGTAAGAATCAAACTCACTACTCAGTCGTCATTGTTCTAGCGAGACAAGCTTGCTAACCATTACACCGCCTCGAGGTACCTCAAATCGTACCCTGTGTATGTATCCGTCAAAAAGTAAAGCCTATTTTTATTCAATTACATTTGATTTAAGGCGGAAAGAGCACAAGGCAGAGCAAAATTTACGCAAGAAGCTCGAGGATTAAAAATTTATCCCTTGAAATCGTCTGCTTCCTTCTCAATAGCCATGTCCGATTTTTGAAAAAGAATGAAGACGGGACATGTAAGCAACGGGGAAGTATTAAAAATGACAAAAAAAGAACACCTATTTTCAGAATCAGAAAGTGACACTTGAAATTACTTAGACACATAATTAGGAAGGAGGGCTTGGAAAATATAACACTCATAGGGTATGCTGATGAAATAATGAGTACAGGGGACACTGAAAATTTAATTAAATATACATTTTTATTTTTTAAATATTTTTTTCACTCTAAGCAAGGAAATGAAGGAGAATCAAAATACTTTAGAAAGCTCCCAAAATCCCAATCCAAAACAAGAAACAAGTGATAAAACTCAAAAGACCATGGAAGAGTGTGAACTGGGCGTTAGATCGATTTGTCTATTCCTTTTATATGTGTTTATGAAAAATAAACTGAGTGAAAGTGGCTAGACAATATATCCGGTCACAAATTTGGAAAAAGAATAAATTTAAACAAAAATTAAATTATCATAATTCAGAATTACTATTCTTACAATTAACAGTAGAGTGAAATTTGCCACGGAAATTCTCTCTTCTTAGGTCCCTTTGTTTCATTTGGTGAATGCTGCCATAATCCTTGATTTCAGTTCATCTTAGAACAATGAAACTGTGGTCGACGCTGGCAAGACAATGCATCTATGAAAGAAGTTTGAATACTTATACCATTTATGCATTGTCCTCGGTAAAAGAATAAACTGCATCCGGCAGCAAGTCTAAAATTTTAAATGTCAGCGTCCCCTCTCCTTCTTGCGCATGTGTAATCACATCAAAGTAAACATCACTGTAATCTGATGAAATCCTAAACTACTTTCGTAAAATACATCTATTGGATGCTTTACTACACATCAACGGTGATTTTTCTAGCCGAGTTTCATTAAGGGTTTCGGGTCTTTCAACATCATAACCACTCTCCACGGTGACCCAGACGATAATGATTGGGTATTGACTTGTGTACCTATCGTTAGCTACAACTTTTTCCATCTTTCGAAATGCACACCATACGACTCTTCTTGGCAATTTATTGTCCAATCGTGGACGACTTCCTGTTCACCAGCAGTGTGCGCTCTTCCATAAATAAAGGAAGGAAACACAACCACACTTTCTATCTGATCAGGAATATGGCAGCATGCTTGGCTTGAAGTGGTAAGTACAGATTTGATCCCCCCAACCAACGAGACATATATATATATATACACGCACACACAGAGAAACGCACTGAAATATCATATTCTGCTTACACTTATCTCTATTTTCATTCATGTTAGTCATCCGGCGAAGGAAAAGAAAAAAAAAAGAAAAAAAACGTGTTAAAAGAAAAAGGTTTTTCATTTTTCATTGAATTTCTGATATATAAAAAATGTATATCTCTATTCCAATAGTCACAATATACTATGTGTAACAGTAAAAGTGTCCATGGAACATGATCAAGATAGAGGAGTGAGAACTGTGTAACACCAGCCGAGATATGGCAACAATACTCCATATTTGGTCTGATCTGGCTCTTACAAATTTAGAGGAGGGGGAGTCTGAGACTTAATGGAGCCGTAGATGAAAATGATCAAGGTAGGAACAGTAGAAGTCAGTTACTTAGTAGAATGGTACAGCATTTTAGGGATTGATGTATATATATATATATATATATATATATATATATATATATATATATATATATATATATATATATATAAGTTATGAAGAACTTGGTAATCCGCATGGGTAATGAGAGCTCAATGTAAATCCAGAGCTAATATTTAAAAGAAAACAGACCACTTTAAGTTAACATTATAATAATTTATTTCACCAGAGTCCTTTTAAAGGACGCCGGATCATCAGATAGCACTTAAAGATATATATATATATATACTATCATCAGATAACACACACAAACACACACACACACACACACACATATATATATATATATATATATATATATATATAATGTGTGTGTGTGTGTGTACCGGGGGTAACATCAAAATTCTCCAAGTGAAAGATTAAGCTTAGACCTGTTGCATCTTGGAAAGGATTAAAGATATCT